AGAGAAGCGTACACGGAGCAATGGCTCCAAACTACAAGAAAGAAGATTCCACCTAAACATTAGGACGAACTTCCTGACACTGTTCGACAGTGGAATTTGCTGCCAAGGAGTGTGGTGGAGTCTCCTTCTTTGGAGGTCTTTAAGCAGAGGCTTGACAACCATATGTCAGGAGTGCTCTGATGGTGTTTCCTGCTTGGCAGGGGGTTGGACTCGATGGCCCTTGTGGTCTCTTCCAACTCTATGATTCTATGAAACATCCAAAGGGGACATTTATTGGTGCCCTCCCATTTAAAATGTTGAATGGAGAAACCTCTCTATGAACCGGGAAGTATGTAGGTGTCAGTAGCCTGGGGGGGGGGATGCCATTGTAATAGTGAAGTGGCTCCTACAGGATGCTAGCCATGAACAGCATAATTTTCTTAATTTTTAATGTCTTAATGGTTCAATTTGATTTGTGATAATACAGTTACATTTTATTTTTATCTCATTTTTGTCTAATGTTAAGAAAATGTATTCAAATTTGCCATATTGGTTTTTTATTTTTATGTCAACCACATTATTATATTAAGCAGTCCATTTTTAAAATAAATAAAGTATATGGCGATATCTCTGCATAACCCCCTCTATTGAATATTTACTGGGGTGGCCAAAAATAAACATCCAATTTGCAACCCTGACTTTGGCAATAGAAAGCTTTTGCTAGCAGGAGAGGAGTTACTCTTGAGATTTTATCAATTCTTAGAGTCACTATGTACAAAGAAAATACGATGGCATTATTAATAATTTGAATTCAGAGCCCAACTTGTTCTGAAGACGTGGGATGGGAAACTATAAAAATTAGATCATCAATGGAAAATATCCTATTAAAATCAAATTAATTTCCATCTGTGATTAGCAGATTTTCACATCTCTAGAGTCCTCAAATTAAGGATGCAATTGCCAGTTTGGTTTCCAGTTCTGAGGTGCTAAGCCTCAGGTGCTTAAATGCTTGTAGGCTTCCCAGCCTTGTCAGCCTCAACCGCTTACTGCTAGCTCAGAACCCGAAGCTGCCCCTGATAGATATCTCTTTTACTTCAGAGCTTTCCAAAGACACTTCATCTCCCTCTAACCATCTGCAGAGTGAGCTCTCAAAACACTTCTGAATTACAGATGCTCTTGAGGTACATACGGAAAATTGCACCCCCAAAAAGATATCGTACGGCTGGAAAATCATAGAATCATAGAGTTGGAAGAGACCACAAGGGCCATTGAGTCCAACCCCCTGCCAAGCAGGAAACACCATCAGAGCACTCCTGACATATGGTTGTCAAGCCTCTGCTTAAAGACCTCCAAAGACGGAGACTCCACCACACTCCTTGGCAGCAAATTCCACTGTCGAACAGCTCTTACTGTCTCTTAATGTTCAGAAAAGAGCAAGCCACATGATCAAGGGTGTGGGGCAGCTCTCCTATGAGGAAAGGTCGCAGCATTTGGGACTTTTTCCATTTAGAGAGGTAACGTGAAATAATTTCAAAGAACTATACATCGCATGGAGAAAGTGGCTAGAGAGAGAAAAATTATCCCTCTCTTATAACACTAGAACTCGTGGACATCCAGAAAAGCTGAATGCTGAAAGATTCAGGACAGACAAAGCGCTTTTTCATGAAGCGCATAGTTAAACTATGGAGGCAGTGATGGCCGCCAACCCAGAATGGCTTTAAGAGAGGCTTTGACATATGAACGGAGGATAAGTCTGTCAGTGGCTACTAGCCACGAAGCAGGCTGTGTTCTGCCTCCACAATTGCAGGCAATATGCTTCTGAATACCAATTTTTGGAAACCACAGGAGAGGAAACTGTTCTTGTGCTCCAGTCCTGCTTGTGGGTCTGCTATGGGCATCTGTAAGATGAAGATGTTGGACTAAATCAGCCATTGGCCTGATCCACCAGGCTCTTACGTTTTTAACTACATAATCATCTTGCCTAGATTCTTCAGTAAAGAAAAACATTAATCCCTTATAGAAACATTTCTTTCTAGCCCCACCCCCCGCGCACCCCACCTTACAGGGGCTCAGATCTTGAATGTAAATCAAAACACATCAAATTTCTCCCCAAGGTTTGATGCCCCTGTTCCATGCATTCAGGCATCCATTAGAGAAATGTTATTTTCCTGTGCTTTTGGCTGATTCCTCTTTAATCGTTTTGCTCTGTTCTAGTTGCTGGGTAAAAAGGTAAAGGTACCCCTGCCCGTACGGGCCAGTCTTGACAGACTCTGGGGTTGTGCGCCCATCTCACTCAAGAGGCCGGGGGCCAGCGCTGTCCGGAGACACTTCCGGGTCACGTGGCCAGCGTGACAAGCTGCATCTGGCGAGCCAGCGCAGCACACGGAAACGCCGTTTACCTTCCCGCTGGTAAGCGGTCCCTATTTATCTACTTGCACCTGGGGGTGCTTTCGAACTGCTAGGTTGGCAGGCGCTGGGACCGAACAACGGGAGCGCACCCCGCCGCGGGGATTCGAACTGCCAACCTTTCGATCGGCAAGCCCTAGGCGCTGAGGCTTTTACCCACAGCGCCACCCGCATCCGTCTAGTTGCTGGGTACTGCACTGCAATTTTCAAGTTCTGCATATTTTAATGGTGAGTTTTATTTACTGTATTGTTTTTATCCATTTATATTGTGATTATATTACAGTCAGCCATTTGGAGCCTATTTTGAGGAAAGAAAGCTGGATAACAACAACATCTTTAGTACGCAGTTTAGTACAGGCAGGTTTCAGGCCCCCAAATGAGGTAATTAGGCTTCTATCCTATATATACTTGCATGTGTCAGTAGACAAGCACAGGATTGCGTTGTCAATCTAATTATTCATGCTAGTTGTCAATCCCACCCTCCTCCTTTCTTGTTCACTGTGCTTTCTGTGCTGATGGGGCTGGAAAATATATCATATAATATCCCTGTGAAATTCCTTTTCACTCTTTCCAATATCGCTTGTCTGGACGAATCATTTAGAATTCTGCATCAGTGTGATTTTGTATAAAAATTCAATTGCAACAGCAATAACAACAAAAATAGCACTTTATTCAAAGTGCTTCGCATACATTATGTTACTGTAATCATTATTACACATATGTAAGTTGGTAAATATTAGTATCCCAATTTTGCTGATGGGAAGTGCCTTATCTGGGTGAGTTTATGATAAGAGGCAGTATTTCAACTTACTGCAGATTTTCCAACTGCAGCTCAGACTCTTAGGCACTACTCTACATTAGCTCTGCTTAGAAACAGTAGTTTGCATATTATTTTAAGTGTTCAACTACAATGAAGTAAAATATGTCCTTTATTTAGGCTCAGCTGTTTAGGGTGCTTTGAGAAGACTGACGGGTGCAGGCAGGGACTTCCATGAAATGCCCTTCATGATGCTCTTGTACTCCTCTGGTCCCAATTCCCCAGCTATAATACAGCAATATAGAGACCTATCCACTATCTCTCCTAGGAGAACATAATTAAGACTACAGCAAGTAAGCAGTTGTATTGATAGCTCCCACCAATATATTTATACTTTAAGACAAAGACAACATAATATGTTTCATGTATAGAAACAAACAGAAATCAGGAATTTATGCTTAATATCGGTTGGGGTTTGTTTGTTTGTTTGTTTGTTTGTTTGTTTGTTTTAAACAAGATCAGAGAAAGGAACAAATACTAACTGTAACAGACTCCATAAAGGAGATCTCTAGAAACTACTGTGTTTTTAGAAAGATGTCGTGGTGAGTCTCTCACCGCCGTCCTCCCTTCATTCCATTGAAATTTCTTAACGTGAGTACTCTTTGTCAGGCGCCTGATGATCTCTTCAGCAAGCACATGCTCTTTTCCCCTTGTGTCTTATAAATATAATGCATGAGCTAACATAACGGGCCATTTACTGTAAGTCTGTTTATCAAAAGGTAATGATGTCATGAAGCGCCTCTGTGTCCATCAGCTTTCAGAACAGAATTGGAGTGCCCTCTGCTGGTTGGAGATTGTCTTTGCCGCAGAAATAATATATATATTAGGGATTCAGCTAACTGTATTCTGAGAAGAGTGGGTGAACTACATAGAGGGCAACTAGACCACAATTTCTTGTTCGCTTTGCTGTTCATACATGCTTTGAATTGCTCCTCTTGTTCTGTGCAAGAATTTGCCCTAATCACTAGTTTCAGTCCTCCTCACCCACCCTTCTTGCACTCGCGAATGGGGCTACAGGCAAAACGTATTAACACACCTATGTAACCTTTTTTTGCTCTCAAGCTGAATTTCAGGATATTAATATTATATGTTTATTTATACCCTGCCTTTCACCCTGATGGGACTCAAGGCAGCTCATACTGTACATAGAAACAGGAATAGATAAAAACGTAGAAAAAACCACAATTAAAAAACATATATATTGTTTAAAACATCCACATCATTACAATAAGTATAGCACAGCAGGGCACAAGATTAAACAAAACAAAACAAATACTGGTGTTAATCGTGGGGGGGGGAGCTTTGCACAATGTTTACCTGAGTTCCATGCACTTCACAGTTTCTTCAAAACTTAGTATGTGGAGGGTTGTTTTTTTAACAGAAAACTAACCAACTATTCATCTAGTAAGAAATAAAATGTCCTCATTAGCATACTCAAACTTAAGCATTAAGTTTGGGCACTTTTGGGGAAGGAAGGGTGATAAAATAAATAATAAAATTAACTGAAATTTGTTATTTTATTCCTTTTGGTATGCCAAAGCTGCTGAAGACGCTCATGAATTCAGCTTTGTTGCACTAACCAGAAGAAAAATGGGCTGGGGCAAGTATGAAGGGCATCTCCTCTGCAGTCACTGATGTCAGAGGAAATGGAATTTAACAGCCGAAGGAAATGCATCTAGCAGGGTGTAAAGACCTAAGGAGCAACAACCAGGAAGATAGCTGCTAATCTAGGAAACTGCCCCAGTGACCACAACAGCACACTTTGAATCACTGTTGAATTAAACAAAACTGCACTCACTTGGAACCGCTGACGCCAACTGAGCCATACCATACTCTTTGCAGTGCTTTTGCTGGTTTAGCTGGTGAATGCTTACAGTAGGCAGCAAGCAAGAGGAGGGAGAAACAGGAAAGAAAACCTAGGTTATTATTTTATATAGTAATAATTCACATCCTGCCCTTCTGTCCTACGAATGGAACCTCCAGGATGGCTTTACAATCATAACAAAATCAACAGTCAAATAAACTTAAGCTTAAATAATAATTTAAGCAAAGAATGCAAACATTTATACAATAAAGGCAAACATAACGGCTTAAATTTGTGGAAGTGGGATTTCCCTTGGGATTAGGCTTTGAAGAATGTGACAACCCTAGCCAAATCCACAGCAGACACATTTACACCAATGTTTACAAAACAAATTTCTCATTCCAAATTCTGATATGGCATATCACAGAAAACCTGTATATACAGTAAACTCTCTTGAGGACTTGCATAATATCCTAGTCTCTTCCTCACTGAGAAATTGTTCTACTTGCTCAAAAACCTTCAACACCTGTTTGGCAAGCCCACCTCATAACCTGAAAAGAGCTAGTGTAGGGTAGTGACTAAGGAACCAATCCATACCTGGTGTAAATCTCACCAGGTGACCTATGGCAAACCCCCCCTCTCTCTCTTCCATCTGAAATATGTACAAGATGAGAAAATGAAATGTACCACCAGAGATGGAGGATTCCAGTTTTGAAGGTTCTTCCACATTCCCCCACGATAAGAAAACTAGCACATGTTTTAGCCAGACTGTTCTCATTTTCTATTTGAATTTAAAAAAAAAAATGTAGGGGAGCATTCAAAATTACATTGCCCTTGTGCAATCTAAACAGATACAGTACAACCCATTCTACCTGGCCTCAGCCCAACCAATTCCAGTTGCCACATCTCAAAAAGGATGCCATAACACTGGGGAAAGTATACAAAAGTGCAACCATTGATAATCCATTGAATCCTTTTTCCTATTAGGAAAGGTTTTAAAGCATAGTGGGAAAGTCTACTATGGGGGAAATCATGTGACAGAGTTTTATAAAGTTATGAATAACGTGGAGACAATGGTTAGATTCCCAGCCCCCTCCAAATCCTAGAATTTGGGATCACATAATAAAATTAGCTGGCAATAGTTCAGCCTGGCAAAAGGAAGTGGAATTTGTGGTACTTAAATATTCAAAACATATGATAATAGAATCAGAATTATACAGCTGGAAGGGACCATGAGGGTAATCTAGTCCAACCTTCTGCAATGAAAAAATCTTTTGCCCAATGTGGGACTCAAACTCTGAGATTAAGAGTCTCATACTTGGGGCTTTTTTCCAGCCGGAACTCATTGGAACTGAGTTCTGGACCTCTTTTGTGCGTTCCGGCACCTCTGTAGCATTGCGATGTCCTTCCCCTAAAAAACTTTGGTTCTGGCACATCTTTTTCTATATAAAAAAGCCCTGCTCATGTCCTATCAACTGAGCTATCCTAGAGGATGGACTGCTAGGTTCATGGCCTGCTGGTGTACTTCCCATCTGGCTAGCCATTCTTAGAATCAGGATGCTGACCAACATGGGCCATTGATCAGATCCAGTAGGACTCTTCTTATTTTCTTAACAATTGATCCCCCAGCTGTAGCGCACAGTGGTGCACTCCTGCAAGGATTACCACATGTTGTTAATATATGTTTGAACTGACTATCAGGAACTCTAAGAACATTTTCAGAGGTGTAAAGTCTTCAGGTCACTTCAGCTTTTTCATTGCTAAAGTGGGGGGGGGGAGAACATTCTAGATCCCTCCAGAAAGTAGCAAGAGAAAAGAATAGATCCTGAGGGTCTCTCAAAAGCCATTGCGACCTTTACTCTGGTGGAAAGGCCCAGCATCTTCTACAGGTGAGGGGGGAAATTGTTTCGTGATGTAATGTTTGTGACTGTGGGAAATAGACAATACTTGCCATTGGGGTCCGTTGCCTGCTGGAAGAAGGGGGCACGACCCAACATAGCTCCCTAAGAGGAGCAGAAATAGTAACTCTCCAGAAATAAACAGGGAGAAGGAATGAGCCGAGAGCTGCAGTTTCAAATACCAGCTTTCTTCAGCAAAGGGGGCGCGGAAGGGCAGAGGGACAAACGGATAGCTTGGAACGCAGGAAACAGCTTCCTTATATGGGCTCATCCGCAAGCGACAGAGCTCAGTCGACTGGAATGACTGTGTCACAAAATGTGAAGCCTTCAGGGGCTGCAGTGAATGGAGTTTTCTGATCTTTAAATGATTCCTCCAGATTCTTAAGATGCCAAAACCAAGAGGCTGTAGTGCCAAAAAAGGAGCATTTCAAACTGGGATGTTTCAGGGAAACATACCACATATGGATGTACATGCACACATACACAAAAGAGCCTACACATAGTTTGTCATCCTACCAAAATATACCACCAAAATATACACAGAACCTTCTCATGGAGTCACATTCATTTGTCTTATATGCAAGCACTGTAACCTATTTATTGTAAAAAAAAACCAAACCCTTTTACATGGAGGTTTCTAATAATATTCTTTGTCCGCTGCCCGTAAGTAAATTGCACATATGTACGTCACAGTACAAGCCATCCTCAGGCAACACAGCTATCCTGCTGCTCCATCTCACTGAAAAGAGTACTAACAATCCTTTCTAAAATGGAAATCGTAAGCTCAGATGGCTATAAGTGCAACCCTTTCCAAAGCCCAACAGCTAAGGCAATCCTTCAGCGGCACACATACCTCACACAGCCCACCATGAAACTGCCACCTCAAGTGTTCCTTGAGGTGTGGGGAACAACTCCCATCAGCTCCAGCAAACATGGCCAACAGCCAGGGATTAGGGAAGTTGTAGTTCAGCAACATCCAGAGGACCAATGGTTCCCCACTACAGATGTCTCCCCACTTGCGTGCGATCAGAATGTGCACTCCTGCTGACATGTGTGCTGTTTTCAGTGCTGAAAAGGGGGGTGGAATGGGGTGGGGCAGAACAGGGGAATCCCCACTCACATGAGTCTCAGTGACATGCACAGCAGCTGGGGACGGAGCCCTGTGTAAGTGGGGATTCCCCTGTATATTATTCATATTGTGAGATGGCTTCAGTGACAAAAAGAAAAGGCAAAGGGATGCAATGCAGTCAAACAGCTCGGGCCATTAGTTTTAGGGTGCCCCCCAATTCCCATCAGAGGCCAGAAGGAAATGAGTTCCCATGAGTAGAAAGGTAGATGTAGAAGACATCAGCACAAAGCGGACAAGAGAAGTCAGGAGCATTCATGACAATGTGCAAGTGTCTTGTATACATGCATGCAGAAAGAAGAAAGGAGGGAATTTGTAACTATTATTATTATAATTAGTACTAATAATATTTCATTTCTATATGGCAAACTCATAAAATATATCTATGTAGTGTACAGAATTCAAACTAAAACCAATTTTAGACAGAATAGCCGTCTCCCCATGTTCACATAGCAATGAAGAAAGTTTAAAAAGCAGTTTGTCATATTTTAAGAAAGTGAATTCCACTAGGTAGCAGAAACCCCCTTGCATGGCCCTAAGGAGCTCTTTGGATCCAAGCCATTAAGGGGATCATTGAAAATGATTCTTTTGTCTTCCCACTAATTTTGTATGCTGGGTTTTAATACATTTTAAGGAATATTGAATTATACATTATGCACTCAAGTGCAAGCTTTCCAAGTGTAGTAAGAATATTCTGACGGGTTTAACTCGGGAGACAAAAGTTGCAGCCTGATGGAACACTTACTTTGGAAATAACTCCCATGGAATTCAGTGGGATTTACTTTTAAATAAACTTGACCAGGATCTGAAAACAATAACGGAGTGGTGAGAGAGGTGGAGAAATGAGGAGTGTACAGAACTTTGAAACTGTAAAATGGAGAGCCATTTGAAGACAATGGTATAAGGAGGGTTGAAGGCACCAGGCAGATCAATAAACAGCCCTTAGATATTTGTATAAGGTAATTTGGTGAGGAAGACAGGAGTGCCTGGCGTGCTCTGGTCCATGGGGTCACGAAGAGCCGGACACGACTAAACAACTAAACAACAATAATTTGGTGAGAGTAGTTTCAAGAGAGTGAAACAAGCAAAAAATAAGATCAAGCAGAGACCTGGGAGGATAAGTCACAAAGAGTTATAAATTATATGCTTGAAAAACGGGTAAAGGAAAGAGAGACACAGAGCAATAAGTGGAAGGAGAAGTGGGATCAAAGGTAGCTTTTTCTAGGAATGGCAGAGATTTGAGCTCTTGAAATAAATGGGAAGAAGCCAAATGAACTAGAGATGTCAAGAGACACACAAAAAGTCAGGAGAGGCAAGGTCAATATATGGAAGAGATTGCAAGACTGGAATATAAGAACTTTAAAATAGTAGAAAAGCCTGTTGGATTAGGCCAATGGCCTATCTAGTCCAATATCCTGTTCTCTCTGTGGCCAACCAAATGCCTGTAAGTAGAACCCAAGTACTAAAGCACTCTCTCCTACTGCCTCTAACTGTGGAGGCAGATCATAGCCTCCAGCATGGCTAGCAGCCATTAACAGATTTATCCTCCATGAATTTCGCTACCCCTCTTTGAAAGCTATTCAAGATGGTAACTATCCCTGCTTCCTGAGGGAGCAAGTTCCATAGTTTAACTACACACTGTGTGCAGAATTACTTCATTATCTTTCAGGAATCTTCCAACATTCAGCCCTGGGTTCTAGTATTATGACAGAGAGAGAAAAAAACTTTTCTCTACCCACTTTCTCCATGCCACGGATAATTTTATAAATGCCTATCATACCAATTCTTACTTACTTTTCTCAAAATTACCAAACATTGCAAATTTTCCTCATAGGGGAGCTGCTCCTACCACTTTATCATTTGATTGCCCTCTTCCAAATGTTTTCCAGCTCTACCATATTCTTTTTGAGGTGAGAACTGTACACAGTATTCCAGATGCACTTACAGCATATATTTGTATAGCAGCATTATGATGTCAGCAGTTTTATTTTCAATTCTTTTGCCAACTTACATCAAGCCATCCACTATGACAGCAAGATAT